AGAAAGAGAAGAAACGATCGAATTGATTAATTCAGTCGCACTGGTGGTGTTCGAAAGCTTATTATAACGCTTTCTGGCGGCGGGCCTTTGCGAGGATCGATCGGCCTTGACGGGAAAACCCTTAATTCGTGTGCCTGAGAGTTTCAACGCGCACGTCCAACCGCGTTAAGAGTGAAAACGGCCCCTTCCTTTATGCAAGCTTACTATTACGTGTCGCTGTAATACTGTAACCAGTTAACGTAATCGCGATTAGAGAAAACTCTACTCGAGGAAACCTTGACCGACGATTCTTGGGGTGGTTAAATGGCGCGCTCGCTGCTGCTGCTGCCTCATTTGTTGCTTCTGGAGCTTATTATGAAACCTGACTCCCTGGTGCACATCGTTTGCGAAATAAAAAGTAAACCAGGGATAACCGATGAAACTGTTATCCAAAATGGAACATACTCGATGCGACAATAATTAAATATCGTCTATGAAAAACAAGGAATTAAATGTCCTCCTACAAATTCATTGGAATAATAATTAAAAGTCACGAATATCGTGAATATCCTTTTGCCGGAGAACATTTGCCAATTGGAATAATAATGAAAAATCAGGAAAAAGTAATCTACGGTAAACAAATGTTAGAAAAGTCCAAAAAGCGAAGGCTTGAGTGGGCCATGTGCAGTCTTCTGCTGCGTTTCCCCCTCCTAGGGATAGTTCTGCCTCAAGGCTAAGAAAGGCCATATTGTCAAGGGGGTCCTCTTGACTAGGTTTTTCAGGAAAGATAGAATTGTATCAGCACTCGTACAGTATAGTTCGAAATACAAGCATTCACTCTGTTTAACCGCCCACGTTTATATCTTATTCAACCGCTCACCACCGTTATCCTGACACATTTTCTCTTACACAAAGGATCAAAAATATGTATATCCTGCCGGAGAACATTTGCCAATTGGAATAATAATGAAAAATCAGGAAAAAGTCATCTGCAATACCAACATCCTGCCGAAGAAATTTTGCCGATCACCCTCGCGCCACGTTCATACACACCAAACCAAACAAACCACGCAGTAAAAACAACCACTCACCGTAGTCCAGCGATTGTTGCTGTTGCGCCGCGTACTGCGACGTACTATTGGCCGGCGTGACTCTGAAGCGTTCCATTCTCCTCGTCTCTCACCGCCGAAACACCACCGAAGGAAACCTCTCGCACTCTCCCGAAACAACTGTCGCTACCTCCTCGCCGAATCCTCGCGCCGATAATCCTCGAAGGCGCGTGGAAAGAACGGCGCAGAGAAGAATCCGCCAAGGAGTAGTACCGATAAATATCCAAACAATGGCACTTTCGCTTCGTCCGATTGGCGAACGCGTTCTCCATTCGCCGGTGCGATGTTACAGGCTTCTGCCGGCCGCGCTGTGACTGTGTACCGCTGACAACACACCACGAGGAACAGACGGACGGCCAGACAGGCAGACAGAGACGGCGAACAGTGGGAATAGGGAGGGAGAAGCAACGAGCCAACTGTACTGAACGAGCGGAACCGATATACACAACGAGGGAAAAGAAAGAAACGCACGTTTGGCCTATCGTAGGCAACCCACGGTGCGTGTCCCCGCTCGTTTAAAGCTCTCTCTCTCCTCTCTCGCAAAAACTGGGATCTCTGTTTATCGCGTGTACACGCTATGGCCGCGTCTCGTGTCGCCAGCAGCAGCGTTGAAGCGCGTGCTGAACGCGATAACAGAACGTTGGTCGTTTGCGTGTGACGATCGCGGGGCTTAACCCAAACGCTGGGACCTATATACCTGTCTGTCTGTCTGCCTATCTGTTCGCGGGTGACGTTACACGTGAGCAACGACCGCGTTGCGTTTTTCTTTTCGAACGGCGACACCGTGCACCGCCACGATCACACCAGACGTATTACTAACTCGTGGCCACGGACCGATCCGCCGTTTTATATATATGATAGACACGCGTGTGTGCACGCCTGTAACGCTAGGGGGCCCCGTGATGCGAAGCAGAAGCTGAGTATGGCTGTGTCGCGACGGGGGCACCCACGTGTGCGTGTATCAGCACCGGCGAGCTCGCCCCAGGACCGTAGCTACCGCCGAACTACCCTAGATGGCCCGCCATTGGACCTTGGGCTGGGCTCGGCGACGGCTGGATCAGGGCGGGGAAAGTGAAAGGGCGGATGAAATTAAAATGGTCTATAGGGTGAGCGATTTGGAATAGGTTTTTTTTAAGGCGAAAAATGGTGAGTTAGATTACGAGATTACCAACTGTTGGAAATTATTGTCGACATTTTTGTGAACCAGTGTTGTATGCACTTCTGATGCTGGGATACTGTAAAGAGGAAGATTCAAGTGGAAAGATATTACACTGTATTATCAATTTACTAGTTTATGGTCTATGGGACTTTTCATATTAAGCCAGTGGAAAGAGGAAGATTCATGTGAGAAAATATTATACTGTCTTATCAATTTCTTTTTTTTTACTATTAATTGTGTATCACCCTGTATATTTGTCTGAGTAATTTATGCTCTATGGACTTTGATGATTAGCTACTGGAAAAAGGAAGATTCAGATGGAAAGATATAACACTGTGCTATCAATTTATTTTTTTACTGTTTAATTGTCTGGGTAGTTAATGCTCTATGGACTTTGATATTAAGCTGCAATAAGGAAGATTCAGGTAGAAAGATATTATACAGTATTTTACTGTTTAATTGTCTAGGCAGTTAATGCTCTATGAACTTTGATATTAACCTACTGGAAAAAGGAAAATTCAGATGGAAAGATATAATACTGTTATCAATTAATTTTTTTACTGTTTAATTGTCTGAGTAGTTAATGCTCTATGGACTTTGATATTAAGCTGCAATAAGGAAGATTCAGGTAGAAAGACATTATACCATATTTTACTGTTTAATTGTCTAGGTAGTTAATGCTCTATGAACTTTGATATTAACCTACTGGAAAAAGGAAAATTCAGATGGAAAGATATAATACTGTTATCAATTAATTTTTTTACTGTTTAATTGTCTGAGTAGTTAATGCTCTATGGACTTTGATATTAAGCTGCAATAAGGAAGATTCAGGTAGAAAGATATTATACCATATTTTACTGTTTAATTGTCTAGGTAGTTAATGCTCTATGAACTTTGACATTAACCTACTGGAAAAAGGAAAATTCAGATGGAAAGATACAATACTGTTATCAATTAATTTTTTTACTGTTTAATTGTCTGGGTAGTTAATGCTCTATGAACTTTGATATTAACCTACTGGAAAAAGGAAAATTCAGATGGCAAGATACAATACTGTTATCAATTAATTTTTTTACTGTTTAATTGTCTGGGTAGTTAATGCTCTATGAACATTGATATTAAGCTACTGGAAAAAGGAAAGTTCACATGGAAAACTGTTATCAATAAGTTCTGCACCACCCTGTATATTTCTCTGGGTAGAGAGGGTTCGTGATCAATGGACTTTCGAGGTTAAGCTACTAAAACAAGAAAGATTCACGTAGAATTTCTTTCTTCTTTTACATAGGAAGGTTATACTATCAGTTCTGCGCAACGCAGTACAGTTGCCTGGATAGGGAGGTTTTATTGTTTGGCGGGAAAGTGGCGTTGTCATGGAAGGGTTAAGGGCGTGGAGGTTAAAGGCGTATTTAGTCCCCAAGAGCAATTGGGGAGATTAACTTCGATGCAGATAAAAAGTGTGGTAAAAATGATGAAGGTATATGGTAATCCATAGCTGTAAACCCAACGATCTACTGAAAAGTTTCTAAAAAAGCACCAGCACCTCACCTATCATCATTTATCGATCAAAAGTGTATCTCTCTTAGACTCCGTCAGAAATCGGTGAAACGTTTAACCAGTTATTTCATACCGGTACACATGAAGTTAACTCGTTTCACTTCGCTTACCGAGTTAAACGCAACGATTTCCCTTAATCGTGACTCTCATTTTCCTCCTGTAAACCCAAAGAAAAGCGAGAGAAATGTTATTTTCGAAACTCCGTTGAAACTTTCTTGGCCACGCGCCAGCAATCCCCTCTCCTCTGATAATTTCCAGCGAAAGAGCAAATTACCGAAATGAATTCTATCGTAGCCTAACGGAGAGAAACGAAATTGCTAGCTTCCGCTGCCGCGAGGGACCAAAACCAGATACACACGACACTTTATCTCGTTAATTGCGACGCGCTCTCGAAACTTTTGGACAAAGTGCGCGCAACAATGTGTCGCGGAGTTGTCGCCGCGGACAATGCACGAGAGCACGTGTGCGTGCATCGCACCGGCTTTTTCCAGGACCGTATCTCTTCGCCTCGAGGCACCGTCCACCCGGCGCTTTCGGACAAAGAGGATCCCGCGGTCAACGTCTCCGCCGTGAAAATAGAAGCAACCTCACTTCCGCTTTTCTGTCTGATCGATGATCTGATACGCTCGCAACGACCACGCAACCGTGCTTTTTATCACGGGGAAAGGGACATTGCCGCGTGAGTATTGATTATCGCGGAATCTTTAAGTGCGCCACGAAATGCTCGCGACGAGTAATTGCCTATTGGATTTTTATCTGACCGATAGCGATTATCGAGCGTTAACGTGGAGCATCGTTCGAGATCGACGGAAGAATTTTTTTGGGGAAATTATGAAATCTTAGAGATGAATAAAAGGCGGTCGAAAAAATTTCTCAGATTAAAGAATTAAGTTTCTGTGGAATTTTATAATTTAGATCGATATTTCCAAGGAATAGTTAAATTTGAGAGAAGAAACGTAAGTGCCTTCTCGTTCCACAATGTTTTTCTATTTTTTTTGAAGATCATTATTTTCTAGATTTTCATTAAAATACTTTTCGCTTTCGGCGCGAACTCATGGGGTGATCCAATAATAAAAAGAAATGCAGCATCAATCGAGATCGACGAAAGAATTTTTTTTGGGAAATTATGATATCTTAGAGATGAATAAAAGGCGGTCGAAAAAATTTCTCAGATTAACGAATTTATTAAGTTCGAATGGAATTTTATGATTCAGATCGATATTTCCAACGAATCCTTAAATTTGAGAAAAGAAACCTAAGCGCCTTCTCCTTCCACAACAATTTTCTATTTTTTTTTTTTTTGTAAGATAATTATATCGCCGCTATAGAATTTTCCTCGATTTTCATTCCAACAGTTTTCGCTTTCGGCCAAACTTACGAGGTGATCCAACAGTAAAAAGAAATAGAGCATCGATCATCGAGAATTTTTTTTTCTTTTTTTTTTTTGAAATCGTGACATCGCAGAAACGAATAACAGCTTGAAAAAAATTTATAGCACAGAAAACTGTAGGTGGACAGATACTCGTGAACGGTGGCTTCAGGTCACGTGAATGCATTTCGCGTATACACACAGCACGCACCCATGTGTGTCCCATATTTCAGGGTTACGCGAGGCTGTTCCGCAGCGATAACGCAGTTGCAACAGTGTACGTACGAATTACTACATTTTCGTCTACAGTGCGGTGAGTAATCGGGGAACTTCGTCGGTTGCATGTATCCTGTTCTAGGTGGCAGCAGGAAACGGAAACCTTTCTTTCGGGAAAATTCCATTTGCACGTACTAGGTTCGCGTATCCTCTCGAAAGGGTTCAAAATATATGTACCGAACACCGATACTCTTCCAACGAGTATGCAACTCCATCGATAGTTATCAGTAGATTCACGTTCCTGAATTACAATCCGCTGTTTACCTAAAAAATACCCGATTCTTATCTCTACGATGTAATTCGCCTAACCTTTCATCGTGTACTGTAATTTAATTACTCGCTCAGACTTACACTCTATTTGGTAGTATTTTAAGGATGGCGTAGGTGTAACTCGCGATAAACGCCCCTCGAGATAGAAAGAGAGAGAAAAAGAGAGAAAGAATAAGGTGACGTCGACAGAGAGCCCCGCGTAGTCTTTAAAGGTTGCTCAAGTCGCGATCGAGGGTCCGTGAAATTCGCTAGAACTACCAACGGGAGGTAATAACAGCGCTGGCGGATCGAAAAAGGCTATCCAACCGCCGATATACACGAGGGAACGACTTTTTTCGACCACGCGAACGCGTCCTCTCTTCCTAATGGCCAATACAGAGGGACGAGGCGTCGTTAAAGCTGGACTACGCTTGCACGTGCACACGCTTTGGTATATATTTCGCCTTTTTTTGTTTCACCGTACCGAGAAAATGTTTTACGAGTTTCAAGTTCCCGGCGCATGGCTGAGAAATATGAGTAGAACTCGTCCGTGACGAACAGCCGAATGTTAGGAGAGAGAAGAAGCTGGGTTACGTTTGGCTCGCGGAGACGTTTCGCTCGGGAGAAAAATCGTATTAGCATTTCAAATGCATGGAAATCCACCGGCCGGAGTGCGCCACTTTAATGCAAAAGCTAAAGCGAGCCAGAATCCGTGCGTCAAGTCCTTGGATTTTTCGCGTATTTTCGCTATCCATTGATAATGCAAATCCATTGTCGAGCTCGTTCCTTTTGTTCGGCTTCACCTGTATATGCATACATGTATATACCTGCGTCATTCGCGACACGTTTCCAAAAGTGTGTAGATTCGAGTGCCACGACAGTTTATCGATTACACGTTTCGAATGGCACGGCTATTAATCGAACAAGCGAATACGCGTTACGCACCCTTAACCTGATGATTAAGTGAACAGTGTTGCAGTCTCGAGTGTTCTTATATTTTTTTTTTGGTGACGATACGATAGACAGAGACAGTGGGAACGTCGCGAATTTTTTGTTTTTTCTTTTCGCACAATTCTGCTCTTGAAATTGGGTGGCCCTTGGCTCGAGACGTGTTCCCCGATCAAACAAGAGAGATTCGAAGGGAGGCAGAAACAGGAATTGTCTGGTCGGTTTGTACCTTAGTGTTCGAGACATCGTCGAACGTAGGGGAACACGGCACATCTGCACAGACTGTGTGTGTGAATTTTTTTTTTTTCCTCCAAGCCACCGAGGGAACACACATTTCTCTTTCTCTCTCACTGTTGGTTCTGCTCGGCGTTTTAGCCGAAACAGCTGATCGTTGCCCCTTTAATTGCATCGCGTTTGGCTCCTACGACGTCGCGGTAAGTTTTCTTGGAAATTTCAATCAAAATCTCGGCATAGTGTTCGCTCGTTTAGTGGGACAATGTTGTGCGGTAAAGCGTGCCTGTGAATACAGTCGAGTGTTTCGTTGCTCGGTGCACGGTAAGTGCTGCTACTTCAAGCATCTTTTGTAGGTTAGGAAGCGCCTTTCGCCTTTAAAGCTCCATACACAATGTCCCGCCCGTTCGTCGGCATACGTAGACGCTCGTGAAACCTCCACCCTGTCTGGCAAAAAACCTTTTCAGACTGGCAAAACATACGACCTCGTTAGTTGCGATCGTTGTGCATTCAGGATGCCATTGCTCGCCTCGCGAAATCCGATTTGCGATAAAACTATCGTGCTACCTTGTTGCATTTCTTCCCATCGTACTTCAAGTTGCAGGGATTAAGGATGAATCGTGTTCTTAGGTTGGGTATCGAGTGCTTTACTTTCTCGGTTAAATGCAGAGCGTTGTGTTATGGCGGGATCCATGGAAGAAGTGACCTCGCGTGCGTGGTGCCGGTATAGTGATAAAGACCAAGTTTAGTTACTCGGTGGAAAGTTAGAAAGGAATTTTATTTCATATTCATCCGAGTATAGAAACGTGAGAAATATTATTTGGATATTTGAAAGGCACTTGATTTGGCTATTTGAAAATATCCAGGTACGTGTCAAGTTTGCCGAAGTAAGTTGTTGATATCGACGAAGAATAGCGATTCTTGGGAGAGAATTCGCGAGGAGAGAATTTTCCGATGTTCTTCGTTCGATCTATCGATATGTTAACGCAAATAGGGAATAATATATTTCTTTTCGGATGAATTCGTAACGCGCGCTTCTTTGAAAGACGCGCCGCCATGTCGGTGCAGCTGGCGAATAAACGAACGGGCGGGGGAAACGAAAGACATGCATCCACCATAACGGCTTGGAGTTCTGTGACGTCTTCAATGGCCGCCGTCGTATTGTCTATACACGTAACGGAGCGCGGTACACTTACAAACCGCGTTCCGTGGTGGTTCACAACGTAGTGTTTACTGTTTTATCGTTAGAATAATCTACCAGGCTGTGGGCCAACGTGCAAACCATGGGCTCGAAGAAGCATAAAAAGCACAAGCGCGAAAGGCACGAAGGTGAGGACCGGGCTCGATCGTCTTATCGTCGTTTTTTGTCACTTTTAATTGTTCTTTCAACATTGTCTTGACATCATAGGTCGTCGCGTTATTATGTAAAGAAGCATAAAAAGCACAAGCGCGAAAGGCACGAAGGTGAGGACCGGGCTCGATCGTCTTATCATCTTATCGTCGTTTTTTGTCACTTTTAATTGTTCTTTCAACATTGTCTTGACATCATAGGTCGTCGCGTTATTATGTGCTGCCTTTTCAATAGTCGTTGTACACCGTGCTGCACACTGTTTCGAACGAGTTCGCAACGCGCTTCGAATTTAAACGGCACCTTCAACTATCATTCTTCACTGCGATATTTGTTTTTACGTTTGTCCGATCGAATCATACTCGCGATGACAGTTCAGTTGCTACGTTATCAGGTGTTTTCGTTGCATACTGTATCTCAAAGTTTTCTTTCACGGCGCACTAAGCATTGAAGTAACGGGTCTCTCTCTGGTTTCTCGAATTTTTCGTTTTTGCCCGTTTTACTCTATTTAATGTTATTCGATATGCGTTTATATTGGTCGATTTTCACGTTACTGTCAAATATTTTGCTGAATGTAATACTACAATGTTGACACTTGTGTCCACCGCACGAGGATTCAAATGAAAAAACTATTCCATAAATGTTAGTGTGTCCAAGGTGTGGAGATTCTGGTTTATAGTTTTAACACAGAGTACGAGAGCCTTAATTGGTTGAAATTTTCTAACATTTTCATTGGAATCCTTCTTGTACTCATAGTTTAATAATGCACAGGAATTTTGACTACGTTTTCACCAAGGACAAACTGAGAGTGAGGTTGGAGTAGAAGTGAGGTGGATTCAAAAGTATAAACGAAGGTTCCACTGCAACAGGTGCAACGTGGAAGTAAGTGACGTGTAACAATGGACATGGACTGGTTGCACGACAAAAACTAGCTGTGCTTCCAAAATTACTCAGATGTCCCATACCCTTTCAGTTTTTTGTCTGTTAAGATTAGTTGAAGTGCAACAAGATTTTTCACGAGTTAAATGTATTACTGTTTTTTAATAGAAAAACCTATAGAAATACTGTTATGTCTGTTGCACTTCAATCATTTAGTTCCCTGGCTGTTATGTATTATGGCATCAAATGCCATACATGCTTTGCTTTACCTCATTAAGAGGTATTTTCGATTTCAACAGTTGCTCCTTCCTGATTACTCCTGCAGATTCAGTCGGTCAATGCGTCAATAATTATTTTATTGCATACTTCTATCAAGGTTTATTTAATTTAAGTCAAGCTACTTCCATCTCGCTTCCAGTTTGTTGAATGTGAAAACAAGGTCACTGTCCTGTTATAAAATCATCTTTATTATTATTATTATTATCAACATTTCCTTCTACCTTTTTATTAACATCCTGTAGATGTCATTAATTCAAAATTGAACTTTTTTTTTCATTCTCCTGCAAGATTATACAATGCAATATTTAGCACCGTATTTTTACATTACAACAATATGCTGTTATTCTGCACCTTTGTATGATTTTCTGCAAGACATTTTTACTGCATGCATTAGATATTATTTATAGCTTAATGCTTCGATATCTTCATACATACTTAGTACATAGCATTAGCTTGCATATGTTGTGAGTAACATTCCCTTTCTCTTTTTAACAGAAGGGCACTATACAACCACGGATAAACCCCGTACCTTGAAGTTAATTTTAAAGGTAGGGGGTACCAGTGGGACACCTGAATACGGCAACGAATCTCCGAGTCAGGCGACAATGTTGTCCCAACAGTTGGGGGTCTACCAACAACAGTTGGGTCTCAACTGTTCTGTAACACAGGAATCTGAATACGATAGGTATTTGGGGCACAAAAAGCTCAAGAAGAAAAAGAAAAAGAAGGACAAACGGCACAAGCATCATCATAAAGACAAGAAGAGGAGAAGAGAGGAATCCAGTCAAGAATCGGTGGGAGATGCTGATGAAAGTTTAGTTGAAGTCCCCAAAAAGATTCCTAATCACCAGTTGTTACCTCCAAGACCACCGTCTAGTGGAGAACACAGAGTTGGTGTTACTAGCCATATTAGCTCGCTCTCTCCGCATCGTGAACCTAGAACTTGCGTACTTCGAAAAATTGCCGAGCGTACACCACTTCAGCGATTATTAGAACACCTTCTCAGGTCAATGGAGAAGCGTGATCCGCAGCAATTTTTTGCCTGGCCAGTCACAGATAGCATTGCACCTGGATACTCTCAGATCATCACAAATCCTATGGATTTCAGTACCATAAAGCAGAAGATAGACGATAATAGTTATCAGAATTTAAACGAATTCATAGACGACTTCAAATTGATGTGTGATAACGCTACGACGTACAACCAATCGGATACCATTTACTACAAAGCAGCAAAGAAATTATTGCATGTTGGCCTAAAGATGGTTACACCAGAAAAACTTCGCCAGTTGAGACCTGTTTTAACCTACATGCAGGATATATCAAAGGAAGAGCTTGGATTTGAATTAGGCACAGAAGATCCTAACAATCCAGACGTTCCGGTAACAGAGGAGCAGATTGAACGAGAACGAGAACAGGAGGAACGTAACGAGGAGGCTGAGGAGCTCAGAAAGGAGAACCAGAGAAAAATGAGATTAGCTAACTTGGGCAAATTCGAAGCTATTCCTGACGACATGACGCCGGAGGAAATATTGAAACAAGCTCGAGGAGCTGCGAAAGCAGCGTCAGAAAAATTAACCCTGAAAAGATTGACCTCGAAGATGGGTTTCCTCAGGCAAAAGAAGGACGGAACTACCAGTCTACAAATCATAGTACCGGGAGACGGAGTGATTCCGGGAACAAATCAAAGACCGGTATCGTTAGGTCAGCTTATAGGTAAATTGAATCACGGCACAGGTGTGCTGGCAGGATTCCGCGAAGATAGGAGAAACATGTCGAAACCGGTAAAACCTTTATACTACGGTGCCTTCGGCTCTTACGCGCCAAGTTACGACTCCACGTTCGCCAATCTCACGAAGGAAGAGACAGATCTGGTGTATCAAACCTACGGTGACGAGACGGCTGTACAATATGCAGAATCGATTTTAGACTTTGCTAAAGACTGTGATTATACGTTAACTATGGTCGACGATCTGTTGGATATCCTAACGGGAGGGGATCACAGAAAGACTAAGAAGTTCCTTGAGGAAAAACGAAGACTCAAAGAGGAGGAGGAGAAGATCAAGCATTTACTAGAGAAACCTATGCAAGATGTGAATCGCAACATCTCACTGTTAGATAGCATTAAAGTTGATATCGATCAGCTGAAGACTCTAGCTGAGTTAGGAATTGACATTAATTTCTTGGAAAAATTAGGTAATTATTTGTTCAAACAAACTCAAAGTATTCTGAACCACCGAGCCTAATGAAATATTCATGTGAATTTTATCTGATTTTACAGAGGTGGAATTGAAGCTCACCGAGGAACGCGCAGCCTTGCAAACTAGATTGGATGATACGTCGCAGATGTTGGGTCGTTTGAAGCAAGTGCAGCACGAGCGACTCTCAGCACCGCCGCCAGCTCACTTGTCGAATGTTCCTAAACCGTCTGAGAACGAAGTGGCGATAGCCGACAAAATCACGGACAATTTAACCGAGATAGCGAAGAAACTCCCTCCCTCTGCTATCGCTCCTGTCGACGGTTTACGAAGAGCCATGGGGATCGCGCCACTTGGTGGACCAGAGCCTATGGAGGTGGAGCCTATCACTCATAATCCAACGATAGTCGCCGAGAACAATCTGTTGTCTCAAACTAGCAACAATCCGGTCCCTTCGAACATATTGTCCGCGCCATCACCGATACAGAACACAAATCTGCTCAGTCCTACTAGCCAACAAAACCAATCGATCAGTATTGTGAACACAAATCAACCGCCTATACAGATACAGATAGGCATGACGCACAGTCAGACACCTCCGTCTCTATTGGGTACAACAGAGACGTCTGCGGTTCCTGATCTGGAAACCGAGCTGCGTGAATTTTTAGAAAGCG